CCCGGTGCTGCGGCCGTGAAACGCTGCCTTTGCCAGCTGGGAATCCTCACCGGAGCCACACAGCTCCTCCAACAGCTCCCGATCGCCGCTGGGACGGGCGGGGACAGAGCGTGGCACCGGACACCTCCACGGGTTGGGTTATCTTAAGACCTGAGATGAAGTTAAGGTGGGAAGAGGTTGGCTCAAAGCATTAAGCACAGTCATGTTCAACTCATTGAGAACAATTTCCTAAACTGAGAAATGAGAAAAATGCCACTAAAAGCACCAGAAAGATACGAAATTCCCTACACTGCACCTCCAGCTATAGGAAATAATTTCTTTAAACTGCAAGAAAAGTTTTCTTCATACTCTGCATTTTATATTACATGGGGAAAAAAAGGTAAATGATGAGTCTGTACCTCGATGGGAGTCTGAGACCAGAGCAGCAGGAGCTTAGTGTGTCCATTCCTAAGGTACCTGGTAAACCCTGTATGGCTTTTAGTCGTCTACCTGCAAAAGTGGATGTAATTTTCTAATTCATCTTAACGCTCACCTGGAATAAACAGAAAGCAGAACACGAAAGGAAAAACAAAAACCCAAAAAAACCCCACACCTCGACTCTATTATGGAAACTTCCCCCCGCTCTAAAAAAATTTGGCAGTTCTAACCCAGATCGTTCTTTGAGTATTGCTCCACAGACATTTCTCAGGCAGGTGCAACCTTCTGTGTGTGTAAGGACGTGCCCTGGCGCTGTCTGTCTGTCTGTCTGTCTGTCCACGTGCAGCGCTGCTGGGCTCTCCCTGCTGGATGTGGCTGACACTCGTGTGTGCGGGTGGTCGGGCGGCTGCGGCATTGCTGGGGGTGGCACCACCACCAAACTTTGTTAGAGATCCAAACAACTACATTGGTTAATTCCTAGTTCTATTTACACGGGGTTGAGCTTGGCAGGGGACTGGAGTACAGTTCGGAAATGCCCACCTCTTTTTTTTTTTTCTTTTTTTTTTTTTTCGCTTTCTGATGATGCCAGTTTTATTTTGGGAATGTCTACTATGGGAGTCTGACAGGGGAACACGAGGGGGTGGTTACATTTTACAGCATTGATGAAGGTGTGGGTCTGGTATACAATGACTTTGTCTTCGCATCCAACACTCGCTGTAGGAGCCGTGGCTGGGCAGCCTCCGCCACGGGGAGGGCCGGGCCAAGGCCCTCCTGCTCCTGCGGGCCCGGGCAGGGAAGGGCAGGCCGGATCCTTCTCCCTGGGCAGGCTCCTGAGCCCAGAGCGCCGTGTGAAACTTTGGTTTGAGCCTGGCTCCTCGCCGCCTCTTCCCGCTGCAGAGCCGCAAATGGGAGAACGCGGCTCGTTTGCCCAAGGATTGGAACAGTTCCTCTTCCAGCCCGAAGCAGACGGGGGACGAGCCCCTGACCCTGTAGATGCCCTGGCCTGCAGCCCCCGAGCCCGGCGGGTCCTCCCCGCGACCGCAGCCCCAGCGCGCGCCGAGCTCCGGGGCCTCGCTCTCGGCCGGGGAGCCGCTGATCCGACCCGCGCTCTTTGGTGTGCCAGGACTGAACGCTCCGACTGGTGGCAGACATTTGGCACTCTGAGGTGTACTAGTTTCTGTTTTTGTCAGGTCTAAATAGCCTTGATCCTCCAAGGGGTTAATGCTGGAGCCTATGCTTAAGCTAGTTCTGTCGGTGAAGGAGTCCACTCGTCCTTCATAGCCTAAATCCGCCGGTGCTGAGCACTGGTGCTGGGGCCAGGGCCGTTTGCAGTCTCCGTGGTTCTCCTTGTCTTCCCCGTTGTCTTCCTGCCCCCCCTGGAAGGAGTTCTCAGTCCAGTCCGACTCCTCGCTGACGGCGACCGCCGCGTTCATGTCCCTGAGGAACACCACGATGACCGTGATGTTGTCGCTGGAGCCGGCGTCCCGAGCAGATGCCACCAATTTATGTGCTACCATGCTGCTGTCACCGTTATTCTCCTTCAGATGGTCAGCCACCACTTTGACTGCCTCATCGGGGTTCACTGTGTCGTAGAAGCCATCACAGGCCAGAATGAGGTAGTCTTCAGAGCCATCCAGCACCGTGGAGGCAGAGTCTGCGTCCCCACAGATGTATGGCTTGTGCTCAGCGTCCCCTGTGCAAGAACAGCAGAGAAACACAACCGTGGGTTTGCAGCCACAGCTTCCAGCAGCCCTTTATTAACTCAGTGTGGAGCCAGTGACTCTTACCCCAAGTTAAAGCAATTATTTGGAAATTATTCCCTCAGACTGTAGGGGGAAAAATAGAGGTTATTGCTCATAGGTCTATCTTCAGCTGTATGTCAAATTTTGATGACTAGAAAATTAAACTTTTATAGTTAAAAAGCAAAGCAAGTCTCCAAAAGGAATGAAGGCTCTCTCTTACCAATAGCTCTGGAGACAGAGAGGCTCCCGTTCACCCTCCAGGCTCCAAACCAGACCACGCAGCCGCCCAGGGCCTCGATTCGCTTCTTCTCATCCTGAGCAGCAACACAAGAGAGCAGTCAGAGCTGCACCACACACTCAGCACTCCCATCAACATGGATTTTCACAAACACAGCAGGCCCCATGAGCCAAAGGATTTGCTCACAGGTCCAAACAAACCAGGACAGTGGAAGGTGCTCTGCTGCTCACAGAGATCCCGGCATGGCAGCGCTCCCCAGAGCTGTGCCTGTGCTGGTCACTGCCCAGGGCTGCTCACACAGGCCCTTCTCACCTCTCGGTCTGGTTTGTGGGGTTTCATCAGTTCCACTGCTTGGCCTCTCCTCACCAGCATGACCTGGGAGTCCCCCAGCCAAGCCACATGCAGCATATTCCCTCGGATGAAAGTCACCACCCCGGTGGTTCCGCAGCGCAGACTCTGGAAAAAAATACATTTCCATTTCAAAGCATTTTCTTCCTTAACCCAGGGACAGAACACATGGAAACTGCAGCACAGAGCTATTCCCAGGGAGGAGCAGGCAGTGCTTTCCCTACAGCTACAACTGCTCCCTTACAGCCCCTTGGTGCCAACCTGGCTGAACACCAACGTGCCCCATGGCATCCCTGGCGTGGGAGCTGCCTGCCAGGAGCTGGGCACTGCTGGGCTGCTCCTGCTGCTGCCAGGCACTGCTGGGTGTTGGTGACCCTGAGGGCTGAGCCTGGGAGGCAGCTGAGAGTGGGGATGGCAGCAGCATCCCTCAGAGGGGCTGGGAGAAGCAGGAGCTGCCATTGTTATGGGGTGTGAAGCTGTGGACAGAAAGGCACCAGTGGGGCATGGAGAGCTCTGTGCTGGTTCCACTGTGCCTCTCTGGAAAGGCAGGATTGATTTGTAGTTAATGCTCTCAGAGTCCTGCTGGAATTATTTACCAATATAACCCCATGGGACATGCCTGGCTTGTCTGGCCCTTGCTGCTGGACCAAAGGTGGCAGCTGTGGTGGTTTCACCTCAGAGACACCTTTGGCTGGCTGGATGTGTGGTGATTTCACTTTAGAGACACCTTTGGCTGGCTGGATATTGCAGCTGGGCGTTTGGAGACAAGTCCAGACATGCAGGAGCTCAGGTTTACCTTTGGTGGAGAAGCTTTAAGGCAATGGTAAAGGAAAAAGGAGTTGGGTTCTGCAGGAGGGTTCTGATCCAGAGCTCTATTCTGGCCCACAGGCCTCTGAATGCAGCACCAGCTCCAACAGAACTCCCTGACCCTGTGGTTGCTGTGTCTTTTAACCCCAGGGAGAGGGGCAGAGAAGGGGTAGGGAGCCACCAACCAGGTAAGGGGAGGATTCTCAGAGGACAAATGACCCCTGGATGGCCCAGTGTCCCCAGGGCTGAGAGGCATCTTTTGAACTCTGCCAATCACTCAGTGCCCATCTGGAATGCCAGGACTGACAGACAGCGCTCAGCAGGGTCAGGGTGGGGAAAGGACAGGTGATGGCACACCTGGGAATCCACAGGGAGAAACCCCAGGTGTGTGAGGCTATTGGAATAAGAATCCCAATATAACCAGTTAGATGGTGCCTGGGCCAGTTCTGACCCTCGCTGCTGGGCCAAAGGCAGCACTGTGGTGCTTTACCCCAGAGATACCTTGGCTGCTGGAGATTGCAGCAGGGCACTGAACAAGTCCAGGCTTGTCAGGACTCCGTTTACCTCAGGAGAGAGAGCTTCTGGCGATGGTGAAGAGAGGAAGGAGAGGATTCTGCTGGAGGGTTATATCCAGATGTTTATTCCATGGGTGCAGAGGTCTGCACCGGGACAATTCCTCCAACAGAATGGAGGCCGCATGGTCTGATTGACCTTTTAAGCTCCGGGCAGGGGAAGGGGAGGGGACAGGTGAGTCACCAACCAGGTGAAGGGGCAGGGTCTCAAGGGACTGGGGACACCTATACGGGCCAATGTGCCCCAGGCCTGAAGGACCAATCACACGACGCCTTGCTGGTATGTTAGCCTGATTGCCAGGGCACACTCAGCGAGGGGCGAGGGGGAAGGGAGAAGGTAAAACAGGACATTGCAACACACCACAATGTGAGGCAAAGCATGAGCTGGCACCAGAGCAGAGCCCTCACCTCCCTGGCTGCCTTCTGCACGAAGCGCTCGTCGGTGACGCGGAAGGCGCGGCACAGCGCCTCGGCCGGGTCCTGCTGGAACATCTCCTGGTGCACCATGTTCACGTGCAGGTGGATGGAGGCATAGATGGCAGCATCCACTCCTCCGTGGCCATCAAACACTGCAAAATAAGCTTGTTCCTCTTGGTCCTGCCAGAGGAAACACAGGGAGGAAAAACTCAGGTGGAAGCAACACAAACAGCTCATTGGATTGTCTTAAAGCTTTGAACTTGGGATTTGTGCTGTCCTCATTAAATTGCAATTAGAGACAGAGTCTCCACTGGAGAAGCAAACTACCCTGACCACCTGCCCTTGCATCAGTGGGAAATTTCCACCCTGCTGTTGAATTCTACCTGCAAAATGCAAGAGATGCCCTGTGTGGTGTTCTCAGTACTCCTTAGGTCCCATTTGTTACAGCTCAGTCACACAACTCAAATAGGAAGTGCCATTCTCATCAAATTGTGCAGGAGATTTTGTGACTGCAAAAACCACAGAGAGAGAAGAACATCCAATACAGTTTGCATGAAGTCTACATCATGATTGGAATCCACCAGGGATAAAATGCCAGTACAGTTAAAATGTGAAGCCAGCCAGTCTTTGCTTTCACTCTTCTTTTTTCCTTAAATCTAAAATATATCATCTTAGATGCCTGTGTTTTAAAAAAACTGCATGTGCTCTCTCATCAGAAAATTGTGATTACATTCACAAATCAAATACAGCAAAATCACTCATCTTCAAGGCAGTTTTCTCAGCTTCCCCTCCTCTGTTCAGAGAAACAACGTGGTACCAGGAGACAGCAACTCCAGCAACTCACACACACAACACCAACCCACTGACAGAGCCAATTCAACCTTGACAGCCAGCTCAGTGACTGGAATATTTGCACATTGTAATTTTTAGGTAATGGGCTCCAACACAAATTGGAATAAGAAAGCTGACAATTGACAGGCAAAGGAAACATCTGCCTCTGTTTGCATGAATATCTTTTAAAGGTAAGAATGTGGATGGGGCAGAAGATGGTTATTAAAGTGACAGGGTGTAATAAAGAAGTAATTATGCAGCAATTTGATCCTTAAGGTAAAATTCTTGCCATTTTCTTTTACTTTCCATTCCTGAGTGTCCAGTTTTATATCTCAAGGGAGAGCAAGAATGAGTGTCTGACCAATGGCAACATCAAGAAATTAATGGAAGGGAAGACTCCAGTTCCACCAAACTACTCACGTTTCTAGAATTGTGTGTGAGCACTCAGTCCTGTAAGGTTTGGGTTTGTTTTGGATTTTTAAGCTTAATTTCCTTGTTTTTGCTTTTGGCTTCTTCCTCCCAAGAGTGAAGGTTGAAAAGCAGAGCAGATCCACTCCAGCTGCCCAGAGATGAGCTGTGAGGTGACCAACTGCCAACCCTGCTGAGATCCATCACCCTTCACTCCCTCAGTGGAAAACCTCCTGCTTTCCTAGGATGCAAACCACTGACCTGTGCCATTCCCATTCTCTGAAAAAATCCCTTCACCCAGGGCTTTTCTCCTGGGAAGCTGAAAGGCAGTGAGAGAAGCCTCAGAGAAAAGAAAAACAATTCTTATCTCATTTGCTTCTCCTGTTCTGTGCTCATGTGGAATGTGTTTGGAGATTGTTTACCAACAGGTGATTGTTCCATTGGACTCTGCTGTGAGTTGTTTTCACTCATTGGCCAATTGGGGCCAAGCTGTGTTGGGACTCTGGAAAGAGTCAGGAGTTTTCATTATTATCTTTTTAGCATTCAGTAAGTATCCTTTCTGTATTCTTTAATATAACCTAGTATAATAAAGTAATAAATTATTCTGATAAGATGGAGTCAGATGCATCATTCTCTCCCCTCGTTGGTGGACCAGCATTTACAATATTGACCACAGAGAGTGTGTGTGTGTGTGCTCAGTTCGAGGTTGAAGAGCCTGGACTGGACTATGGAAAGAGTCACGAATTTTCATTATTATTTTAGCATTCAGTAAGTATCCTTTCTGTATTCTTTAATATAGTATAGTATAGTATTCTTTAATATAACATAGTATAATAAAGTAATAAATTATTCTGATAAGATGGAGTCAGACACATCATTCTCTCCCCTCGTTGGTGGACCAACATTTACAATATTGACCACAGAGTGTGTGTGTGTGTGTGTGCTCACCTCAAAGTTGAAGAGCCTGGACTGGACTCTGGAAAGACTCACAAATTTTTATTATCAGTTCAGCATTCAGTAAGTATCCTTTCTGTATTCTTTAGTATAGTATAGTATAGTATTCTTTAATATAACCTAGTATAATAAAGTAATAAATTATTCTGATAAGATGGAGTCAGACACATCATTCTCTCCCCTCGTTGGTGGACCAGCATT